TATTAAAGGCGAAGCTCCTTCAGAAAACAAAGCTCGTCATTTAAGACGAAGCTTCTTCAGGAGATGAAATTCATTCAAGGTCGAGGCTCGCCATGCAGCAAGACTCGTCTCGTCAAATAAACCTCACCACCAGCGAGGCTCGTCTCATCAAGAAGAGCTCGACGCTAAAAGGCTAACGACCATAAAGACCCAGTCAGCCCACGTGGGCTAAATCTAAGGAGTCAGTTACGCTCCTGATCCTATAATCAACGTGTCAGTTACGCGCTAAAGGCCTATAAATAGCCATGAGTATATAGGAAAAGGCCAATGGGGAGCACACGTGGAGTAACACACTTAGAGAGCATTTAGAGAGCATTTAGAGAGCACCTAGACACACTCAAGCATTACCAGCAGCCAGAAGCAGCGGCTCAAGCACTCAACAGAGGCTGTTTTCTCCTGAAATTGAAGCAATCTTGCTCTGATCATCAACGAGATGTAAGCTCGACACTGTAGGCATCGAAAATTGCCTATAGGTCTCCACAAACGGTTCAGTGTTAAAGAGCAATGATGAACGTCACTATCTGATCCACATGAGTCTAATTGACGTCGACGAACGACTAAAGTGAATCGACGAGCTACGTGAGCGGATAGGATTTCGGAACAACGAAGACCCGGGCCAATCGAAAGCCCGGCACTATTCACAAAAAGGACAACGCCCTTTACACCTCGATCACTCTAAAGACAATCTAACCACCAGAGCGGATCGAACTCTTCGTCAAGCTTCCAACGCACCTGGAATCACTCAAATCCGAGTTCGGACGAGGAATCTACAGGGAAAACAATCGAATATACCTCAACGGAGTCTCGGGAGTTCCAAAACACCCCAAGGGGTGTCTCAGAAATTCCAAGACACCCCAGGGGTGTCTCGGAAATTCCGAGACACCCTAGGGTGTCTCGGAAATTTTCGAGACACCCTAGGGTGTCTCGGAAATTTCCGAGACACCCCAAGGGTGTCTCGAAAATTCCGAGACACCCTAGGGGTGTCTCGGATTTCTAGAGACACCCTAGGGTGTCTAGGCACCCTAGGAGCCCCCTATTGCCTATAAATAGCCCCCCTTGGGCATTATTTTCTGGATCTGGAATTTTGGAGAGAAAGAGGCGAAGCCCTGCTGCAGTGAAGAGTGATCGAGCACTTTAGGGGAATTCTTCATCAGATCCTCATCACCCGTGTGTTCGTTCCTTAGTATTAGCAATTGGCGTTAATACTAAGAAGAGCTAATATCTCGCTTTAGCCGAGATAGACGCTTCAAAGCTTCTAGATCTCTCGCGGATCGACGAAGCTCTGTCCGATTTTTCTGGATCAGAAGTTCCTAGATCCCCTCGCGGATTGACGAAGCTCTGTCCGATTGAACCGGACTAGATCTGATTGCCAGGTAGTCCACGGATATCAACGTCCCCGTCACAGGCCAAAGACCCACGCAAGCAAGAGACCGCAAAACAGGATCTTGTGTTTATTTTTGAAAAGTTGTAATTTTTATTCTTTGTTATTTGAATTCATTTGTAACGATTGAAGTTTAATGAAATCAATGATGAAGGCAACTTTTTCCGAAAACAGACACGAATATCAAGCAATGCATCTCATCTCCACACAGAAGCCATGTTAAATAAAGGAGAAGTCAAATCAACCTTGTCCTCTTCTGTACTTGAGAAAGAACGATTCTAAAGAGATTTTAACCAGACGATAGGATCTCATCTCATAACTAAAGTGGTTAAGGGGATCAATCATTTCGTCTTTTTCAGGACCCTACAGAAGATGGCAACTATAGTGGGAGATATCATTTTCTCAGAAGAAATGATCGTGGCGTAGTCTGACAAGATCGTCGTGGGAACTAATGTCGAAATTCTCATCATCGAGTTAGATTAATCTAAGTACGAGGAGCTCCTCTCCTCCTGTACTCCGAGTCCCACTAAAGCACGCAAGTGCCACAAAGTCTCTCGCGAGACTCTAGCCAAATCGGCTTCTGACAACTCAACATGAGTTCACCTCGTGGAGAAATCCTTACCTTTGACTGTCGAGGCTCTGAAAACGAGCCGTCAGGCTAAGCAATGGGTCACCAAGCAACCCAAACAAACTCCAATTGCTCCTGAATCCGTTGCTAATCTGCTATCAAAGAGGGCATGACGCCATCGACGCCAGTATCAGGATCGTCGTGAAGCCCGTGCCTTAGCTTCTTGAATGGCTTCCACTACAGGCTCAGAGAGGACATTGCCAAAGCTCACAAACGTGTAGAGGCTCATTCGGCTAAGGTGCGTCAAAATGACGAACCTCGCCCACAACGTGAATCTCATCATCGCTGCTCATACGTCCAAATACACCAAGACAACAAACCTCGTCTTCAACACGAGGCTCGTCTTCAACACCAGGCTCATCCAAGATACCAACTTTGTCGCCCAAGCCAGATTCGTCCTGCTGTCGAGGCTGGTAAAACCGAAGTGCACCCAGATGACGAACCTCATCTTCAATACGAGGCTAATCAAAGACGACGAGTTCATCTCCCTCTCCAGATTCGTCTTGTTGTCGAGGCTAGCCAAACTAAGGCGCATCAAAATGACAAACCTCATCTCCAGCACAGAGCTCGCCCTATTACCGGGCCACCTTCAAATTGCCAAGTCGAGGCTTGATTAAGACGTCAAGCTCGTCCCCTGAACCAAGCTCACCCAAATGTCAATGCCCGCAAGAATGATGAGGCTCGCCCAAATGTCAAGCTCGTCCTATGAACCAAGCTCACCCAAATGTCAATGCCCGCAAGAATGATGTGGCTCGCCCAGCTGACGAACCTCATATCAACCATGATATGTTAGGTCTCGTTTTTTGATGATGATTTACAAACCCCATTATTGGTGCTAATTGCTTGCCAAGTGATATTGTACATGATATACTTTATCAAGAAATATAGTGTCATAATTGGAGGATGGATGGATTTTGTATCATAACAATGATATTCGTGGAGGTGGAGGCAAGTTGATAAAGAAGAGCTTACAAGTACAAAATTTACAAGAGGAGCTTCATCAACAAATTAGCAAATATCAAGACTCAAGACTTGTATATATATATATATATATATATATATATATATGTGAGTGATATTTGTATTTTTATTTTCTCTCTAGGTCATAATGTAGGCAAAAAATTAAGTAGATAACATTTGAAACATTTGGGGTTAATACACACATTTCCAAATGTCGTATTTTTGACCGTTTTACAAATTGATAAGTTTTCACAATTAGGAAATAATATTTAAAATTTTTTTTTCTAACGTGCTTATTTTTATCAGAATAATTATTTTCCCAAAATTCATAATTTTTAGAATTTATTTGCTATTTTTAAAGCATCTTTGAAAATTAAATTTACTATTCATAACTGGGCTATGCATGGTTATCAGTCAATTAACACTGTTCATCAGTCGACTGATGAAGTGCTCCGGAATTAGCGAATTGCTGATAGTTTTTGCTCAGTTAACTAACTCTCATCAGTCGATTAATGGTCTCATCAGTCAACCGATGATGTTTGAGCGATAGCCAATGGTCAGCTCATCAGTCGACTGAACAATGCATCAGTCGACTGACGGTACTGTAACGGCTAGTTGCTATTTTTGCTAATTTTGTAGGATTTGGTGATTTGTTTTGGATTTGGGGTACTGTTTTGAGTTCCTATATATATCCTACACCCCTCATCACTTCAGTAACTAAGCAAGCAAAGAAAAATTTTTGAGTTATGTTTTTGTGTGTTTTTGAGCTCAAACTTTCATCTCACTCAATTTCGGTTTCTCACTTTCAAATCCCACAACCCCTAAGCTTCAATTGTCATCTCTTAATCCTTGTTATAGGATCATTGTAAGAGAGATTATTCATCATATTGTATTGTGTGGAGAGATTGATCTCGAGGAGATCATTGTGTGGAGAGATTGATCTCGAGGAGATCATTGTATGGAGAATTTGATCTCGGGGAGATCATTGTGAAGAAGTTATGTCTTCCAAACCGGGTTTGTGTAGTGGATTACTATCGGGAGAGGTGGTCAGGAATGTAGGTCATGAGGACCGAACCTCATGAACACATTAGCATGTCAATTTGGCTAACTATTCTCTAACTCTCTCTTATTTATTGCCATATTTACAAATTGTGTCTTGTGTTGCATTGAATTTTATTAATTGCAAATTTATTGTTTGATTACCCTATTCCACCCCCCCCTCTAGGGCAATTTCATGAGGCTCGTCCTACTACTAGGTCGCCTTCAAATTATCAAGTCGAGGTTCAACTAAAATAGCAAGTGAATCTCTCGAGCCAGGTTCGCGCAAATGTTGATGCTCGCATAAATGACGAACCTCGACCTTCTAACCAACCTCATCTCAAACATGAGAATGATGAGATACGTCCAACCCAGGCTCGCCAATCTCTAGTACTTAGAGATTCTTGAGCATGCATAAGCAAGCTACCTGAGTTAACGAGGGGGGGTGGTCCTGTTACTGATCTTCGTAATTACCTGATTTGCAAATGCAATATGAGCCAGATAAAATCTTGTTGCAACTGTGAAAGGCTCATCTCCATGGTATTTGCTAAATGCTAGTGTGGGGGCCCATCGCCGAGGTCCTCTATATTTGAACGATTGTCGAAACTACCGGAAGCCCTGTCATCCAGAAGAAAACGCTTTCGTCCCAGGAGACGAACTCCTAAAAATGAACCTGCTAGAGTTAGAGTCAATATGGTTAGCAGTGGCAAAGGCAAATGTCTAGCAGACTCTTCTAACTCCTCTGATCTCGAGTTCTCTCCGGGGCTGAGGGGGGTGCTAATTGAAGAGGAGGGTGTCTTTCGACAAACCCGTACTCGTACTGGCTCAGTGACTCCGTTGGATTACTGGCATTTAGCGAACATCTCTGATGATGCCGAAGAGGAGCCTGACAACTCAGCTATTGCCACTTCCTAAGCATCTAGCATCGATCAAAGCAAACAAGCGAATGCTCATATGACCAAGAATGCAGAGGACTTGGAGAAAAGGCTAGAAGAACAACAAGCTATTCTTCTCCAACAACAAGAAACTATCAAGCTCATGAGGGAGACGATAGAAAAACTCCTCAAGAAAAGGGAGAAGAAGAAAAAGAAAAGTGTCGGTGAACTTTCAGGATCAAGATATCAGTGACCTTCACCTAAAGATGGGGAATCTAGTCCCCGAAACCGAGAGGACGCCGATACAGGGGATGATGATGAAGAAATTCTAAGAGTTTATTATGAATCATCAGAAGCCAAATCCAACCCTCATAAGAAAGAGTGAGATTAGAAGTTGGATAACTTCTAGAAGCAACTAGATGCATTGAAGCTTCAGGGAAACTTCAAGGAATTGGGGGTGACTAGACCATACCCCACCGAATGGGATGTCGTTCCCTATCCTCCAAAGTTCAAGCCACTCAACCTTCTACAGTTTGATGGCAATGGCTCTCCTACCCAACATATCTACTACTTCCAGGCACAAACTGGACACATAGTAGGAAATGATCCTATTATAGTTTGACTATTCATCGATACCTTTAAGGGGGTTGCTTTTGAATGGTTTCGCAGATTGGAACCTGGGTCCATCAATTGTTAGAAAGATATGGAGAGGCTCTTCATGGTCAGATTCTTCAATGATGACACGAAGGTATCTATGACCACTCTGCTAGCTGAATAGCAGAAGAAGACAGAGTTCGTCAGTAACTTTGTTAAAAGATTCAAGAACCGATCATTACATTCTCGTGATCAGGTCTCAAAGGCCACTCTCATCAAGATATACTGGAACAATCTCTCCATCAACATACTATTCAAAATGGATGCTCTTGAAGCTTGCACATGGAAAGACTTGATCTGGCAAGGAGAACAAGTTAAAAACATGCTCAAAAGGTTAGATGCTAAAGATCCACGTGAATTTCGTCCTAGAAGATGGGGTAACCAAGGCAACTTTACCCCTCTGACACATTCAAAGGGGAATGATACTTTGACAGTGGAAACCACTTCCTCGCCCAAACCCTCTTTAAGGCAGAAGGGTAATTCTTCACATAACCACAATATGACTTCAAAGATGAATAGGTCATCCTAATTCCCAAGTCGAAGATCAAGCTCCCAGAATCGAAGCGACCTTAGGAGGCTTCAATGATAGATGGTCTTAATTACTGCATGTACCACAGGATGGTGCATCACCCGAAGGTGTGCTACATCCTAAAGGATAAAATCCAAGCTTTATTGGATGCAGGCGTCATGACCCTTCAATCTTGATTTGTACCAAGATATGTCGGACAAGACCTGGGAAGCCAATGTGGTCTCAAAAGAACAAGTATCGCAATTATTCTTCGACAGCACATCAAGAACAGACCCTAAATCTACAATTATCGTTGGAGTGGGGTTAGTCTTGGTTTCTCCGCAAAACCATGTATTACTTCGAGCTTTCTCTCTAACAGAGTCATGTTCTAACAACATAGTCGAGTATAATGCTTTGCTCATTGGTCTAGACCTAGCCAAGAATCTGGGGGTAAAGCACCTAGAAGCATATGGCGGCTCAAAGCTCATCATCAACCAGCTAAAAGGGGAGTTCGAAGTCAGACATGAAGATCTGGTCCCTTACCACGAATCGGCCATCACATTGGTTAATTCTTTTGAAGGTTTTTACATTGATTATGTGTCTCGCATCAAGAATCATATGTCGACGCCTTGGCGTCACTCGTAGCTACGCTAGCTATGTCCAAGAGAACTACTCAGCGAATCATTGTAGCCAGTAGACAACTTCTTCGACCGAAATATGCATTGCAAGTTAACACGGTCGATGAAAAACCCAGGGAGTTTGAACCCAGAGATTGGTGATTCACGATCATCGACTACATCTTATATGGTTTAGAGAATCCATCCGTAGACGAGCGCCAAGATTTTATTACGATTCCTTATTGCAAACCTTGTACAATAGATCGTACGACACATTGTTGCTTCATTGCTTGTTTAATAAAGAAGCAGAAGAAACCCTAAAAGAAGCCCATGATGGTATCTGTGGAGCTCACCAGCCAAGACCTAAACTATGGGACCGACTGTGTAGACATGGCTACTATTGGCCAAAGATGATCGGAGACATCGTTGCATATGCCCAATCGATATCACACATGCCAAATATATACCAACTACATGCATCAGCTGTCGGAGCATCTACATCCTTCGACACTTCATAGCCATTTAAAACATGGGGTATGGATATTATCAGCTAGATTTCCCTACCTTCTGTGAAAGGACATCGCTTCATCCTGACAATAACCGACTACTTTTCCAAATTGGTTGAAGCAATTCTATTAAGAGAAGTCAAAACAAGTGATGTGGTTTAGTTCATCAAACACCACATCATATACATGTATGGTGTCCCGAGATGCATCATCCATGATAACGAACCCCTAGTTTGTCAGCCAGGCCTTCACACGATTCTGTAACAAATTCAAAATCAGAAACTTATCATCAAAAACCTATAACCCTGCTGCGAATGGACAAGCAGAAGCTTTCAATAAGACCATCATCAAAATTTTCACTAAGTTGGTCTCTACAAGCAAATGAGACTAGAATGAGAAATTGGGTTAAAGCTTATGGACATATTGCACAACGGTTCGTATGTCAACAGGTGCTACCACTACTCCTTGGTATACGGATGTGAAGTTGTATTGCAATTGGAAGTCCAAATTCCATCCCTTCGGATAGCACTTGTGACCGATATGACAATGAAAGTCATCACCGACGTCTCGAAGAACTTGAAGCGCTAGACGAAAAGTGACTACAGGCTCAACAGCATATCGAGCTTTACCAGACTCGAATCTCTAAAGCATTTGACAAGAAAGTCAAACATAGCATTTTCAAGGAAGGTGACCCAGTTCTCGCTGTCCGATGTCCAATGGTTCTGAACTCCAAAAATAAAGGCAAGTTCGAACCGAAATGGGAAGCATCATTTGTAGTAGAAACGGTCTACTCAAATGGAGCATATCGCCTAATCAATCAAGATGGCGAAAAGATCATGATGCCTATCATTGATAAATTTCTAAAGAAGTACTATCCATATGGTTCATATATACCGGCCGCCTCCCTATGAAGGTCTTCACGATTGACGAGGACTATTATGCTCATGCGGAAGGAAAAGAGATCATTTCAAATCTCAACAACACTATGGTTCAAACACCATGGATGCAACGATGATGCCTGACCTTAACAATATCGAGGAACACGACCTTTGGCATTGTTAATGCCATTAAAACTCTTTCAACTCCCTCGAGGTCAACCAAGGTAAAGATTTTATTCCTTGTCTTCCTCTAAACTTCCCACCAATCCTCTTCAACAGGATGGTAGGTTCACACAAAACTATCATGTTAATAATTACCTCTGATAGTTCAACCTCCTACTGGATTGTCCCATTAATCCTCTTCAATAGGATAGCGGGTCCATAACAAACTATCATGTTAATAATTACCTCTGATAGTCAACTCTTCAACCTCTATTGAAAATACTCTGTCAAGTAGTGCCCTACCATATGATTAGCCCCTACTTGTCACTCGATCAGGACAAGGATCTACCATGTGATGATTCACTATCTGATCTTTTCCGAACGTTCTATCTCCTTAGAGTGATCGGAGATAGTGACCTACCAAGTAATGTGCCTTTATTCCCGTCACAGTCGTTATACTCCCATGTCACTGAACGACTTGATTATTTCCACACCGTCTTCCTGCAAATAACGTTGTTCAAGATATTAGCCTACCATGTGATGTTCCTCTATTCCAATCATAGTCGCTATACTCCCATGTCACTGAATGACTTAATTATTTCCACACCGTCATTCCTACAAATGATGTTGTTCAAGATAGTGAACTACCAAGCAATGTGCCCTTATCTATCCCTTTATTTCCAAATAGTGACCTACCAAGCGATGAGTCACTATTAAAATATGAGATTGTTATGGTATTAATAATATCATCATACTCCTCCGGTCATTCCCGCAAATGATCAATTCTTGAAATAGGAAGTCTACCATGCGATGAGCCTCACTTTTAAATTTCCAGGTTAAGCTGTTACGCTAAACATCACAACCAAACTTGACAATGATTTAACCTTTGTAGCCATGCTCAACATTTAATCCAACACCTTGAATGGCTAAGGATAGAAGAGAAATATTAGCGTTAAGCCTAAGAGAAACTCCTCGACAACTTATCAAGCTAAGGGTAAAAACATGACTAGTCCAACTCAAACGGCAGTTGGTAAAGACACAATCAAGTCTGTTGATAGATGAAGGTTTGCTAAAAGTCTTAAGTCATGATTGTTAATTATAGTTGATGCAACAAGAATTGGGTTACATAATAGAAGATTGAGCTTAAAGGAATCGGGCGGTATTGTGAAGTTCTTCCGCAAGTTTGTCCAAGGACCTCCTGTACTTTGCTTCAGTTTCTTCCAACGCCTTCTTTCACAACTCATCATCAGAAGACATCACCATGTCACCCATAGTAGTCTCCAAATTCGTTGTTAGAGGCGGTCGCCTATATATAGGCGGGAAAACTGAATCAGTGGCCAAGATCCGCTCTATAGATATTGAGGTTCCAGCTGGCGGCCATTCATCGGGCCTAAAAAAGCATGATGATGAAGGTGTACAACATTGAATGCTGATAAGACCTGATTGTCAGACCCATGTGGGTCTGACGAAGCTCGCGTAAGAATGACAAGACTTAACAAATAGCTGAGCCTCATCTCAAAGCATTGAAGCTCACCTAGAAACGACAAACTTTGAACCATGAAGTTCACCCCGAAGCATCAAAGCTCGCCAGGAGGCCAAGCTCGCCAAGAAGCCAAGCTCGTCATGCAAACCAAGCTCATCATAGCCAAGAGAGTTTAAAGTATTCCAAACCTCATGAGACCTAATTTAGGACAAAAACTTTGAAGATGGTCTCGTAGGCACTAAAAAATGTCAAGAGACAAAGGAGGGTCAAAGCTCACTACAAGTATGGCAAGGGTCATCACAATGATGAGCCTCGTCTCAGTCGATAAAGCTCGTCTCAGCCAAGGCGAGACTTGTAACACCTCATCACTCAGAAGATGAAGCTCGTCATTAGATACAAGGTTCAAAACTCGTCATTGAAGCTCATTTAAAAGACAAAGTTTGTCAGACGAAGGTCATCAAAGACGAACCTCGCCAAGTAGCACCTCACCCATCAGAAGATGAAGCTTCTCATTGAAGATGAAGTTCACCCATTGAAGACAAAGTTTGCCCAGAAATAAAGCTCGTCATTGAAGGCGAAGCTCCTTTAGAAAATGAAGCTCGTCATTGAAGATGAAGCTCCTTCAGGGGACGAAGCTCCTTCAAAAGATAAAATTCATTCAAGGATGAGGCTCACCACATAGCAAGACTCGTCTCGTGGATGAACCTCTCCATGTAGTGAGGTTCGTCTCATCAGACGAACCTCACCACCCAGCAAGGCTCGTCTCATCAAGCGAAGCTCGACGCCAGAAGGCTAACGGCCATGAAGACCTAGTCAGCCCATGTGGGCTAAATCTAAGGAGTCAGGTACGCTCCTGATCCCATGATCAGCACATCAGTTACGTGCTAAAGCTAATAAATAGCCATGAGCAGCTAGGAAAAGGCCAACGGGGGGCACACGCGAAGGAACACACTTAGAGAGTGTTTAGAGAGCACCTAGATGCACTCAAGAATCACCAACAACCACAACTGGCGGCTCAAGCACTCAACAGAGGCTGTTTTCTCCTCAAATTGAAGCAATCTTGCTCTGATCATCAATAAGAAGTAAGCTTAACATGAGTATCGAGCAAGGCATCTCATCGCCACATAGAACCTACGTTAAACAAAGGAGAAGTCAAATCAACCTTCTCCTCTTTTGTACATGAGAAATAGCGATTGTAAAGAAATTTTTACTAGGTGATAGGATCTCGTCTCACAACTAAAGCAGTTAAGGAGGTCAATCATTTCGTCTTTTTTGGGACCTTACAAACACTGGCCAATATGGAGAATGAGGTGGTGGAGCATGCAAAGCGTTGACTCGATGAGGAGCATGCAACGCTCATCAAGCTTCAAGAAGAGGTCGCCCATCTCAAGTCTGAACCTATCGCCAAGAGATCATCAAGGGATATCGCCAAATCTTAACTAGGAAAATTGAAGTAGCAATAGCCTGCAAAGTTGTGTATGACTACCTGTCAGTGCAGCTTCCAGCCGAGATGAGAAACCTGTCCGATTGCTTTCACTATCCTCCTCTTGTAGCTAATTGCTTGGATGAGTTGAAGGAGGTAGAAAAGTTTGGAGGGCGACACGACCTCGATGAGGAAGAGGGGGAGTTGGACGGAGGGGGTGATTGCTCAACTCCACCACCAGCTGATCCTAGCAGTTCCCTGCCTCTGACTCCTTGTGGC